GGCAGCTGTTAATTACTTAAGTACCTTCACAGTGCTGAGGATGTTGAAACAGTGTGTATTTGCTAAATATCTGAGGAATTAGGTGATGACTTAAAGTGGATGAAAAGGACGATGAAGAGGATGAAAGGTGTCCTAGGAGGAAGGGGTGATATCCAAAAACACAGACAGACCTGGAATTATCAGGATCCTCTTCTAGATGGATATGATCTAAAAAATATTCCACTTCATCCATCAAGTAGGAAGTGCTAAACATGCCAGGACCTTTTAGGACCTGTAGTAAACCTCAGTGAACTTACTAACTTGTTTAGAGTGATTAAAGCTTCTAGCTACTGCCACACTGATAATTCCAAAGGCTAGCCAAGCATCAGAACTTTGTGGAGGAAGAACCCATTATAATTCCGATTTGAAGTCCATTAACTGTAGATATTCTAATTCATGAAGTCCAAGGGAGAGATCCAAAGGGGGATTCTGCAAGTTTCTCCTGATAGTTTCATGATGCCTCAGCCACTAACAGGGTCCAGTTCTTGTCAGAGTTCAGGGATTTGACTTGAAATGCTTGACAGTGAGGTTTCTAAGGCTGAGCAGCTGGTGGCAGAGCTCTTGCCCTGGTGGTGGGGATCCAGGACCCAGGGGGAGACCTTGCGCTCACATGCGATGACAGCAAGTTAATATACAAACGCTGTAGCTGGGAAGTTTGACATGGACACGTTTGTCCCACCATGTCCTTCTGTTCGGCCTAAGAAAGTAGGCCTCAGGGATCCTGGCCTTAAAGCCCGTTTACATTCAGAAGTTATTACTGACCCAGAGAACTTTGATAGACTTTTCACAATGTGTTATACTAGGACTTAAAACTGAAATACTGATATTTGGTAATTTATTTTAAAATACAGTCATTGTTTGTAAACAGAAGTCATATTTTTATGAATAGTAGGGTTTCTTTTTTCAAAATAAAAAAATTAGCGTTTTTAAAGTTTAATGTCTGGCTTAATAGAATGCATTCTTTTTATTGTGTTAGCATGCTTTGGATAGTCCTCCAAACCTGTTCTGTAGTAGGCTAATGAACAAATTTAATTAAAAATTTTGAAGTTTTAAGAAAGGAAAAAAAAAAATCTGTGCTGTATACGTATGAGAGAGTGAGCATGATGGACACTAATTCATATCTTGGAATCTGACCTCAATAACCTGATAGAATTTTATTAACATCACCAATGGTTCCTAGATCACCCTTTGGGACTCTCCATATGTAGACTACCACCTCTGTTTTTCTTTTGTTTTGATTTGTTTGCAACACTGGGGATTGAACCCAGGACCTTGCACATCCTAGGTAAGTGCTTTACTGCTGAGCTACATCCCCAGCCATGTATTATTCTCAAGGCCACTAAACTGACCATTTCCTGTAGCCCAGTATGTGTACGTATACACACACACACACACACACACACACACACACACCTGCAACGGTACACATACATACATACATACATGCATACATACATACAGTGCCTTCCTTGGTCCCTTGGTCCCTAGGCTTTGCAAAATACAGATTCCAAGAGATTATTGCAGAATTTCATTCTATGAACTATTTTATTTTAAGCAGACTTTAATAGACAAAGAGAAGGAAGCTAGTGTTTGTTGAATGGATGAATGTTCAACATTTTTGCACTATGTACCCCAGTATAGTAATCAGTTTAGAGATCTTTGCAACCAGCTAATATTGCAACCAGTTAATATTTCCAGGTAAGCATATGCTGAGGGTGTGGAGTAGATGGGGAAATGTGGGACACAATCTACAAGGTTTCCGTTATACAGGAAGAATGAGTTCTAATAACCTATTGAGTGGCATACTGAATATAGTTAATAATATGTAATAATTGTTTAAAAAAATAAAAAATATGGGGCTAGAGAGATGGCTCAGCAGTTAAGAACACTGGTTGTTCTTGCAGAAGACCCGGGTTTGAATCCCAGCACCCACATGACAGCTAGCAACTGTCTGTAACAATAGTCCCAGTGGATCCGACAGCCTCTTCTGACCTCCGCGGGCATTGCACGACATGGGTGCACTTACCCACATGCAGGCAATACACGCATACACATAAAATAAAAATAATAAATAAGCCGGGAGTGGTGGCGCACGCCTTTAATCCCAGCCCTTGGGAGGCAGAGACAGGTGGATCTCTGTGAGTTCAAGGCCAGCCTGGTCTACACAGTGAGTTCCAGGA